ATGACTCCCTTAGAGTTGAGATCTTTGCAGTTATGGAAGGAGCCCGGAAAGCTAAGGAGTTGAACATCAAGAAACTCATAATTGAAGGGGATTCAGAGGTGGTGATAGGATGGCTGACTAAAGATCAAAATGGTTTATGGAAGTATAACAATGAGAGGAGGAAATTCATGTGGATGGTGCAGGAGATGAAAGTTAAGACATGTTGGGTTAAAAGATTGGCTAATTCCCTAGCTGACGGTTTAGCTAAACAAAGGGCAGAAAGGGATTCACTGTTTTGGGCTAAGCTGTAACTTTAGTGTATTCTTTTCTCTTTTTCTTCCTTTTATGAGGCTCTTAGTGGCTCTTGGAAGACAAGTGTGTTTGTCTTCCTCCTGTAAATTTTCTACTAATGATTTAATGAAAGTGTTATTGATCAAAAAAAAAAAAAAGAATAAAAACAATTAGGCCCATCTCAACAGGGTGCAATATGGGTATTTTGGGGTTGGATTTAAGACCAATCCAGACCCAACCTTAAGAATTAGACCATGGGCATAGGCCCAAACCAAGCCAAAATCAAAACCCAAGAAAGTTGGTCCAAGAGCAAAACAAGCTAAACGGGAAGAGAGAGAGCATAACATATAGGTATATGTTTGTAACATATTAGTGCTTGAGCAGTGTACATTTGAATATACTCCAAAGTATACATGATACTATAAATTGTAGTATACATATATACGTTGCATAAATTCACAAATTACACACACAATATATATATATATATAATCAGATGGGGTAAATATACTATGGAAGCTTAAGGGATTGGGCTGCTTGAGGCCTCAACTCAAGCCCAACCTGAACTGAAGTCAAGTTCAAGTTTTCAGTCCTAGCCTAAATCACAAAATTCTAAGTTCAACCTGTGCAAAACTTAGGGTTTGGTAAGGTGGTTGCACCTGTTCTATATTAAATTGCAATTTCTACAATGGCACCTTATGCTTTTTAGGTTTGAACCTTATTCACATAGGATAGGTTATGTTTGATTTGATAGAAAATAAGAGAGAAACAGAATGTTGAGGGAAAGTTCTTAACAAAAGATTCATGTAATTCCTTATGAACTTTCTCTCTTATTTTCTGTCAAGCCAAACACAGCCATAAGGTGTAATCTACAAGGTAGTTTATCGTAGTTAAAATGCAAATTTGATACAATAACACACGATTAGCCATTAGCCTTTTATGAGAAATTAAGATACAATCACCCCTTAATCAATACAAATATTTTACACAGTTCAGAAAGAAAAGCATATACAATTCTTTTCAACCAATAAGCCAAAGGAATTGTCTTCCTGATTGGAAACTGGAGCTTGAATAGAAAGTTAATAGAGTTGTTTAAACGTTGATGGTCTCACTATCTTCCTTGATCCCAGTGTCCATTAATGAAAATGCATGCAGTGCTTCACCCTCACTCGGGTATTTTTTTTCCCTCAGTTTTAGGCCTTCTTTACCATTTGACCAGTTCCATCATCTACCCACCATTCACATTTTGGGTTTGGACAGTCATAAGCATGTACTGAAAATGATGAGAGTGCAACCAAGGAGACCCCTTTGCATGTACTCGCTAGTTTTGGCAGCTCAACAAGCTTCAGATGCTTCGGCTGTAGGAAGTAGATGAATTCATCATCACTGCTCTTAATGAAAATGCATGCAGTGCTTCACCCTCACTTAGGTGTTTTTTTTCCCTCAGTTTTAGGCCTTTTTTACCATTTGACCAGTTCCATCATCTACCCACCATTCACATTTTAGGTTTGGACAATCATAAGCACGTACTGAAAATGATGAGAGTGCAACCAAGGAGACCCCTTTGCATATACTCACTAGTTTTGGCAGCTCAACAAGCTTCAGATGCTTCAGCTGTAGGAAGTAGATGAATTCATCATCACTGCTCTTACCATCTCCTCCATTCACAATTTCTTGGATTGTTGGACAGTTTCTCACTTCAAGTTGTTGAAGGGTTGATAGTTGTTGAGCTGCTGGCTTTGAGAAGAGATACTGCAGCATTGGACAATTTTCCACTTTCAAAATTCTCAAGCAATTTAGGCTTTGAGGTGGCACTGGCCCCTTCCCCCAAATGGTCATGAAGTTGTGGAGATTATGCAAATGCAACATTTCAATCCTTGGTAGAACTGCATGGCTTCTGCTTGAATTGCTACTGCTACTACAAGTTAAGCCATTCCCATCATCTATGAGGACTAAGGTCTCCATCTTTTTGCAATAACCAACTTCACAAAATTCTAGTCCATTCATGTTTTCCAACCCAAATTCTGACAGATATCTAGCAGTCTCATGACAGATCAACCGGAAAGCACAAGCCCTTCTGAGAACCTCCATGATCTCATTGGAGATGTCATTACTCCCCCGCAACCTCAAATATCTCACCCCTTCATGTTCATGTTCAAAATATGATGTATGCAGAGTCTTTAGATCATCACAACCAACCAAAAGGCGGAATGAAGTTAAGCACTTATCCTTCCATGCACAACTTTCTTGGATGAAACGACTGAATGACTCCATTTTGGTGAAGAAAAAATTAAGATGGTTTAGTCGTTTCAAGGTGGCCAACTCTTCAGCTACAGCTTCTGCAATACTAGACCAGTTTTCATCTATCACAGGCCTGTGATCATTCCAGTAGACTCCGCCTATATTTAAGCTCAAGTCTTCGAGTAGAGGTAACCTTAATAACATGCCATTAGGTATCATCCTTTTCTCTTCCAGTATTTTACTAAACCGAAATGATACATGCAAACTTCTAAGATGAGTCAACTTCCCAACTTCCGTTGGCAAATAGTCAATATAATCTCCAAGATGAAGAACTTCAAGGCTCTTCAGATTTCCTATTTGGCATGGAAGAGTCCTTATTTCACAACTACGTAGATATAACCGACGAAGATTTACCAGGTTGGACAAAGACAATGGTAGCTCTTGAATGTCAGTGCCTGATAAGTCAAGATCTTTAAGATTTACAAGATTTGATAAAGGAAATGGTAGCTCATGTATAGCAGTCTTTGATAAGTTCAGGACTCGAAGATTTACATGTTTGGGAAAAGATTAAGGCAATTCCCGGATCTTGGTCATTGATAGGTTCAGGACTTGGAGGTTTGATAGTTTGAAAAGAGATGGTCGCAACTCATGGATAGCAGTTTCTGATAAATTCAGGACTCGAAGGCTTTCTAGCTTGGAGAAAGATGATGGTAGCTCTTGGATAGAAGTGCCTGATAGGTTCAGTACTTGAAGGCTTTCTAGCTTGCAAAAAGATGATGGTAGCTCCTGGACAGAAGTAAGGGATAAATTCAGGACTCGAAGATTGTGCATGTGCTCAAAGAATGATTCTGGGATTGTCTCTAAATCATAATTGTTCTGCAGCAATAAGGTAAGGAGGGAGGTACATTCAGGTGCCTCAGGTAGTCTCCAAATCCCACTTTGCATCAATGAGATCTTGTGCACATGCTTCCATTCTTCTCTGTCTGGTGGATCATCTGTTCTCCTACCTGCTCTCACCAAGAAGCGATGACCATGGTTTCTGCCATCATGAAGAGATGGTGATGGTGATGGTGATGGTGATGGTGATGGTGATGGTGATGGTGATGTAATTCTTAGTGCTAGATCTCTAATCACATCATGCATCTTGACATTCAATTGATGCTCTCTCTCAATCCTTTCTAACAAAGAAGCATTTACCAAGCGATTTACTATCGCATGCCCTTTATCTTGTGCCTCTTCCATGTTTTCTCACCTTCAGTTATAAATCCTTCCCATAACAAGTGTTCTATTAGTTCGGCTACTGGAATTTCAAAGTCTTCTGGGTACAATGCTGCATATAAGAAGCAATTCTTCACATTTTCGCTGCTTAATTGGTCATAACTGAACTTCAATTTATTGAACACCGAGTCTTCTATATCATCAATAATCTCATATTTAGCTGAACTCAACTCTTTCAGGGCATTCCTCCATACACGAACATCATTCTCATTCCTCAAGGAACCTCCAATTACAAGAATTGCAAGTGGCAAACCACGGCACTCATCAACCACACATCGAGCTATTTGCGTTATACCAGGAAAATCCACTACACCACCAACTTTTTCATGAAATAGCTTCCATGCCTCTTCATTGGATAAGATTTCAACCTTGATTTCCTTATTAGTCTCCATCTTATTACAAACATCTAAGGAACGAGATGTCAATACTATCTTGCACCCATTTTCCTTACTTGGATTTGGGACTCCTACAGCTTCCAAATCTATTCTCTCCCAAAGGTCATCCAACAATAACAAGTACTTCTTGGCTTCTAAATGCTTCCATAATTTCCTTGCAATTCTTTCATCTGACTCACCAGCCAAATTCAGTGACAATCGCTGTGCAATCTCATTTTGGACCTTCCGTAGACTGCAATTGCTGGAAACAGTGACCCAAATGACAATTTGAAACATCTGACATATATCAGGTAGGTTGTTCACAATCTTCAAAACCCGTGTCTTGCCAACCCCACCCATTCCCCAGACCCCAATTTTTTGAACTCTGTCATCTTTTATGCAGTCTAATATCTTTCTCACAGTGCGATCAGTGGATGTGTTTCCCTCTGCCACTGAAGAAGGTAACTTCTCAACTGCCTTTAGAGGTGCATCAACCACCACTCCACCCCCGAATTCGGATTCCTCTTTCAGCCTTGCAACATCATCTAGAACTTGAACTATACATCTGCCTACCTTCTTGCGCCAACAAATGTTGGGCCATGGGCACCATCCACTGAGACATTTCTTGTTTTCTTTCAACTCTGCTTCAATCACATCCATTTTAATTTCGACCTCCCTTACTTTTTCAAGCCAAGCTTTACATTCATTTGTCACCATTTTTGAAACCATGTCTCTGTTTATCTCGCATTCTATATCTGCCTTCCTGTTATAGAGGTACTGCACTTCCTTGTTAAGTATTTGGAAATTTCCTCTAAGGTCTTTTACATAGTTAATTCGACGTTTGATAGGAACCCATAAACAGTTTCCAATTGCCCAAATTGGTCCAAAGAAATCCATGATGCTACACATACTGTCAAAATTGGAGAACATATGGTGGATCAACAATTATAGAAATAATAAAATGAACAAGTGCAGAATATAATCACACAGACACAAATTAAAATATCTTACTAGTTTTGAGTACAATTATGCAGGAGAAAAGCTCTAGCAGTATAGATTCCTTGCGATCAGGAATTCCACTTACAGAGGAGAGAACTTTCTAGGAGGAAATGTTGCTTCAAAGAATTAGTGAGGGTTGTTGCACTGTTGCAGTACCAATCATATATTATTAAGATACCATACCATGAACTGGGTTCATTGTCAAAATAGTAAAAACTTGAGTTCAATACAAGGATCCTTATTTTTTCTTTGTTTTGGTAAAAAGGTATTAAATAAAAACTTACAAACTACTTATATTATTATGATAAAATCCTATTTCTTTTTCTTGAACAAAAGTTTCCTAGTTTGTTGAACATAATCATGCTATTAAAAATGAAAAGGAAACCAGAAAAGGAAAAAGATTGCCTTCATTCAAGTTATTGCTTATTGGCCTAATTTGTATTTTCTGTTCTTTTGGGTACTAAATTGGACGTCAGATTTCAATTATAAATAAAGTTGGAATTAGATTAATTCTGTCACGGTTGAAGATTGCAGTCAACTTTTACCCGTTCAAAAGACAATAACAAAGTCGAGGTGAGTTTTTTTTTTTTTTTCCTGGAAAGACAAACTTCAAAATAAGTTGAATGGGAAATGCTTTTCATGTGGAAAGCTTACAAAAAGAAATTCCTTTTATAAGAGGATATATACAAAATTAAACACCTAATGTCTCTGCTTGTTAGTTGTTAACACATTCTGTATCTCCTACAACCATTTGATCAGAAGAATTTACAGTTTTTTGATGAATCAGACACCACAGAACCTAACAAGATACTATGACATCATCCTTACAAGATAAAACTACATACCGGTTGAGAGAATCAGAGTAATGAAATTATTGGAGAAGTTCTATCCACTGCAACCCTCAACTACTGCTCTGTGCTGGCACTTCTGCATAACACCATGTAAAAGCTATCATACTGGTCTTCCCTTTGATCGAGGACTGATTTACTGGGTCTGCACCAGATGGCCCCTATACAGTTCTGGGTGACATCTAGAAAAGCAGTGCTAAGACCAATGGTGAATTAGAACTCAGGATCCAGGGTGATCTCTTAAGAGTTAGACCACTATACCATCATACTCTTTCATGCCTGAGCAAACTCATCTTGGATTAATGGGGCTTTAATGGGCTGGCCTTGACACTTGACAATATATTTATATATATATATATCAAGAAAACAATAGAGAGAAAAGATAGCATTCACTTGCGTGCCAGGGACGTTGGTTTGACAATTGAAATTTGAAACACTCGTTTCCTGTTCATTGGCTAACTGTGGCTTCACCATCTGCTTCTTTATAAAAAACTTCGAGGAAGGTGGAAGGTGGTCACCTTGAAATTTATATTTCACACTTATACACAATTATATGATTAGTCGTATTCTATAGTTTTTTTTTCTTTTTTTTTCGTTTTTCTATTTGATAATGAAGTCGTATTGAATAGGTTGATTGTCAATTCTAAATTTCTAAGTTACAGCAATGTAATGAATTAAACAAAATAGTTATGTCCTGTTCCTTGAACTCCACATTTTAACAAACACTTAGAAGATGCTTTTGACCATTGGGTCGGTGACAACAGAAATAGTTTTTATGCAAATTCCTAGAAAGCTCTGATATAACAAATGAATCTGGTAATCTGATCATGTTCATTATTTATTCTTTTATAAGAGGATATATCTATATATATATATATATATATATATACAAAATGTCTTCATCCGACAATAATGGTGACTGGTGAGTGACTTACGAGTAGTTGAACCGGTGACTCAGAGACATGGACAGTTTACTAACCTATCGTTTGATACGTATTGGTTTTTTAATAAGTCCGGATCACATGTACGTAATAAAATATATTCCAACCAAGGTTAAGTATTGATACAGGGCGATACGCCGGTAGGTGTATCCGCCTGTATTGATACTTTTTTTTTAATTTTTTCGAATGTGGTTTAGAGGGGCCGGTTTAAGGTTAATTTACCCCTTGAATCATTTTTTGACCCGAAACATCTCCTGTAGGGACATATCGGAAAGGCTCCAATATGATACGTATTAACCGATACAAATCGATACTTTGAACTTTGATTCGAACACCTTCCCAACACGATCTGACACCCTATATCTCATATATGGCAGGTTCCAATCATACGGTAAAATGTGCAGTATCAGATAATGTTTTTTTTTTTTTTATTTGCTACAATGGTATCAGATATGTTGGAAGGGTAATGGAACGTGTTTTAATGGCAAGAGATCAACTATTCTTTAAAACTTTAACCCACTGAAACTGAAACACCATGTATAGCGGGTCCTTAATGTTTAAACAAGAAGAGATCACATAAGTGCCCCACAGGCTCCCATATGCACATCTAGTACATTGGAGACATCTCCCAAATTTCATTGGGAGATGTTCCCAGCAAGGTTGGTACTGCCCGATATTATTTTTTATTTTTTTAACTTTTTTTTCAAATCCAATTCAGGGGCCAGTTTAAGGTTCCTCCACCCACTGAACCGGTCAGAACTCCGATACACCTTCTATAGGGGCATTTCCGGGTGCTCCCGATACGATACGTATCGGCTGATACATAACAATTTTTTGAACCTTGGTTCCCAGTGCTATAGAGCACACCCTGTGGGATGCCGATGTGAACTCAAACATGAGAACTCCAACATATCTATTGTTAAAAGAGAAAACCCAAAACTGTTGAAAAGATAGATATATATATATATATATGGAAAAAAGCAAAAGGGTTTACGAATTCTACCCTTTGAATCACATGATATGCCCAAAAAAATTGTTGCATTTATTGATACTTTGAACCATGCCATCAATTTATCACTCTATATCTCCTACCCAAAAATTCTTCCCAGTTTCCACTAGGGGTGGCTATGAATCGAGCTCTTCATGAGCTGCTTGAGCTCGATTCGGTTTCAATCGAACTTCGAGCCCAATTTACAAGCTCGAGACTAATAGAGCTCAGCTTGCGAGTCAAGCTCAAATATATATATATATATAATTATAAAAAATATTATATAATAAAAAATATTATAATCGAGCTTATGAGTTTTTGACTCGAGCCGAGCTTGAACTCAATATTCTAGCTTGAACCGAGCTCAAGCTCGAGCCTGAGCCTTATACAACCTTGGCGAGCCAAGCTTGAGCCTCGTACTATTTGGCTTGGCTCGGCTCAAATCCACCCTTAGTTCCCACATCTCCACCCACATGACACTACCACTATGAATTGGGAACATAATGACAAGGGAGATATTCTCAATGCAGTCCTCTACTATTGTGTGGGTAGGGATGTGGGAAGAATTTATGCCAATACTAGTGAGTGAACCCATACAATACATGGGGTTGAATAGAAATTTGATACAAAACTCTAAAAAAATGTGCACACTAAGCAATAAAAAAAATGTTTGAGGAATATGAAAAAAAAATTAAGAAAAAAATCATCAATGACTTATCGCTACCACTCTAGCATCATGATCAAACCTCTGTTTTCATAGTGTTTAAGTGATACTAGATAAAAGAAGTGAAACAAGTGATGAAATATAACAATTTTCTATACTACTTTAAAAAGCATGAATGCCCTCAAGAATATTTATGGAATTTTCTAAAGATAATCCCTTCTATATTTAAATTTATTGATAAAAAATGAGGGCAAATAAGGTAATCAGTTCTTGATATTAAATGAGTTGAAAAGAGGTAATTTAAAGATATTCAATGCATTCAATTCTCTCTCATTAAATCCAACATTTAAGTTATTAACTTGCATTCATATACATTGAATCATATATTTAAGTCATTTTTGTTTCTTCTCATCATTAAGTCCTATTAATTAAATCCATACTTAATAAATTAATAATTCCAATAACATAAAAGCTTATACTTTTAAAATCTACCTAGCAAAAATAGTGTTTTCATCTAGGTGGTGGTAAGAAATTAAATCATTTTGTGTTAAATGGGTTAATCCATGTTGCCACTATTAAATAATAAAATTAAAAATTGATAAAATGGAATATAAAAATAAAATTTAAAACCAATTGGAAATAAAATTATTTTCCTATTCTCTCTAATTAAACTCTATTATTAAGATATATTTTTCTCATAATTAAATTCTTGTAATTAAATCCATAATATTAATTTTAATATAATAAAAATAAATATTTTGAAAAATAATTTGAAAATAAAATCCCTTTCTTCCCTCCCGGTGGTGGGTAAGCAATTCAACCATTTGAGGTCAAAAGAATTAATAAATAAATAATGAAAATGGAATGCCAAATTCAAAATCTACCTAAAAATGAAATGATGTTATAGTCAAATAATAAAATTTTTAATAATAGAAAATATAAATAATCACAAAAAAAAGATAGAGAAAATTCTAGGCACATATCTAATGTTTTATATTTATAAAAAATAAAATATTAGGTACATCCCTAATATTGTGCATTCAGTATTTTGAACAAAAATGAGTTTTATACATAAAAAATAATTTTATCAATGATGAAAATGTAATACAAATTTTAATATTAACCTACAAGTCAAACAATTTTTATTTTTAGATGGTGGGTTAGTGGTTTGAGTCAAATGATACCATAGATAAACAAAAATTAAGTGTAATAAGTAAAAAAATATTTTATATAATATAAATGAAATATATAATTTAAAGGAAAATTATAGTCAAAGTCGATTTACATTTAAAATTATGTTGCAGGTTGGTCTAGAAACCAACAAAACTCTAACAACCGGTTCTACATTTCAAATTATAAAAACCCCCCACCATGTCATTAAAGGCTTATGCGACTATTGCCAACATAGAACTCTTAATCCATGTTGGACACAACAAAAAACCTATACTGAAAATAGGTTTTAAGTTTCTCTCCCACTCCTCTTGTCTCTCGATCTCCCTCCCTTCTCTCTCACTCTCACAATCATCTCTCAATCTCCCGCTCCTATCTCTCCCTCTCCCAACTTCGATTTGTAGCCAAATCAAAACCTCTCTCTCTCCCTCCCTCTCTCTCTCTCTCTCTCTCTCTCTCTTTCTTGTTCTCACCCAATCTTTCTCATTCTTCTCCCTCACTCTCCCTCTTGGTCAATATCTCATTATCCCTCAATCTCTATCATTCTCCAATTGGTGTAAATTTCATAGCCAAGAGCTTCTTGTGAATTTTTATTAAATTGGTGTAATAAATTTTAAACCATACCAAGTTGGTCTCATGTTCTTTTATACAATCTGATTAATACCATATAAGTGTGTGAGAAAAAAAAAAACAAGAAAGAGACTAAGAGAGAAACTGATAGAGAACAATAGAAATTAAGAGACAATAAGAGATCAATGAGAAAGAGAACGAGAGAGATTGAGGGGGAACGATAGGTAGAGAGAGAGAGAATGAAAAAATTGATATAGAGAGCATAAATACAGAAACCAAAAACCATTTTTATTTATTTTCAAATCACATAGTCGTTGAACAGATAAAGATGACTGTGAGTGAGTGTTGAGAAACATCAAACATCCACTAAGGCAAAAAAGATTATTTTAAGAATAAAAAAGCATGTTTTAACAAGCAATTAAAATTGGCATAATGATTAATTAATTATTATTGTAAGTAAATGACTTGGGTTCAAAACTTATTACTTTTGGTTTGTGAATTTTAACAAGTTATTTGACTTAAATAACATTTAATGACATATTAAATGTCCTAATTAAAGGTAACTCAAATGAGCATTTAATTAAATAATACTAGCATTTAATGACGTCTCAAACTTTAAGGCTTAATTAAAATTTATATTAATGAGAGAGTGAAGAGATAAATTAAATTTAAATTTAAAAATGAGAGGGAATTTAAATTCAGCTGATACATAATGTGTATCGACATGTTTTGGGTTGTATCGACTAATACATACTTGAAACGGTATGATCCGTATCGGCCTAATACGGATGAAAAAATACGAAACCATGTAATTATACACATTCTGTGTATCAGAACTCTTCTGAAAGAATACGTATCGAGCCGTATCAACCAATACTTTGCGAAATTTAAAACCTTGGGTCCATCTCTAAAGGTATCTAAGCATCTACTATTTCTTAGCAAGACCGAAAAACATTGCGAGATGATACCTCAAGGTTGCCCTAATAGGGAAAAAATACAGAAGATCAATGTCCATGGATCTTTTATAAAACTAATGGGTATGAACAGAAGATGGGTTGTGCATGCAATTTCTCGAACATGACTTCCGACTGCCAGCTTTTTAGGTATTCAGATTGTTAAATTTGAGCTTATCTCCAATAAAGCTAACCAGAAAACCGGCTTTCAATTACAATGACTAGATTATCTCTCTTGTTCCTTCTGATAATTTGCACACATGATCATATACTGAGTGCTATGTTGGGCCACTCCAAGAGATCCAACACCAGAAACCAGCATCATGAAATGATCACAAAAATCCATCGACACCATTACCTTGTGTACCTTTTCCGGCTAATTCTGATAATACAAAACTAAAACAATGCCAAAGATGCATCTCTCAGTAGCTCATGATGAATGTGTTGTTCTTTTGCCTTAGAGTGGGCCAGCTCAAGACCTTAACACCTGTTGATGCAGTGTATGTACTACTTTCACTAATTAAAAGGCTAGCAGAGAACTGGAAGACTTGACCAATTGATCATTCATAGTTTGTCTTAATGAGCCAAAACTCTACTATAGTTATTGTATTGGAATGAGCTCCTAATAATGCATTTTTGTACACAGTACACCATAGCAATCAGGCAATGATTTCAAAAAAAACAAAAAAACAAAAAACAAAAAAAAAAAAGCAATCAGGCAATGATTTAACTGAACTACAACTGATCTGCAGATAATATTAAAATAAAATAAAATATAAACAATGCTGAACAGAAAAGGTATAATTTCTTGAAAAGGAAAGGCTACAAATTTACAATAAAGCGATAAAGCAGCACTTCATTTTTTCATCATAGATGTGCAATTCATTTCTTGGTTAGATCAATAAGAATGGAAGGATACAGCGACACTTTAACCCTTCAAAATTGAATGATGATATTGTTGACTATTGTATTACCTTCAAATTGAAGAAGCAACAAAGCTTTTGCATGTTATCCATAACTCCTAAAGCTGTTTCATCAACAAGTTTTCATCCATGTCTTCACTTTTGGCACAGTAAACCACACCATCATCATCTAAAATCTGTACTTGGCAGAAAAAAGGAGAATTCTCCCAATTATAACCCATCAAGTTTACTGTGATACATGTCTGAATTTAACCTGAGGCCTTTACCATAAGCAGCAATAAGAAGAGCCTCTGCTCGGCCTACAAGTATCAAAGAAGCATGGTTTAAAAGGCTGGAGAGGTATCTATGTTTAATGACATGTCATTTCTTCACTGTGTTATAAAATTGAGGAATTATTTACTAATCAAAGGAAGAAGAGAAATAGCTTTAAAAAAAAAAGCTTTATTCCTTTCCAATCATTTAAAATGGGTTCCAATGGTGATAGATAACAAAGTTTGATGAATTACTAATATATTTGTGCAGCTCAGATAGATACAATGGCCCTTGTTCAGTAGCACTTACATCTGCACGCTGAAGACCTCTTAAGTCCTTTTTTTTCTTTTTGATAAATGGTGTGAGATTTGTATTACTATAAAAACAGGGGCAAGGAACCCCTGAAAGCATATACAATGCTGCTATACAGCTGATTCAAAAAACCTTGTCAGCTCTATACATATATCCACAAAAACTTAATAAATGATATTTCTCCACTGATACATGAAAGAGTGAAGGGGGACAAGAGAAAAAATCTTCAGGACCTCCATCAACCGAAGAAGTGTGATCATTCTATTTTTCTGATCACCACTTCGATGGGAAAGGGCTTCCAGTATAGTGTGAGGGGGAGGGAACTCCAGAGAACTTTTCCTTCAGCCAAAAAACCAGGATGCTTCCAAGAGGCCAAGTATGGCACATCAGGGGGTGTCACCCACAATCTCCCAAGACTTTTAAGAGGTCTTTTTTTTATCAGTGGACTTCTAAGAGGTCTTCAAGCATTCAGTTCAATTGTTTGCTACAAATCTTAAATGTACTTGATTCTTTTCAGGTCACAAACTCTGTACAATCTTCTTTCAAAAATACCCTTCTACATTCACCTTACCCCACTACTACTACTAATTATTTATTAATTCAATTATTTTTATTTATGTAATTAATTATTTTTATAATTATATATGAATATCTCTTATTTAATCATTTCTATTTATTTATTAAGTATTATTTAATTATTAGTCAGTGTTTTATTATTTTATTTTGTCATTTATTATTTAATTATTTTTTACTTCATTAAATATATACTAATTTTAGTTTTAAATAATTAGTTAATTATTTATATTTTTTAATCAATTTCACTATTTGATAATTATTTAATTAATTTATTAAATAATTAACAAACATTCTCCAATTCAAGGTTAAAATGGTCAATTGACATTTTTCAGAACTCAGCATTCTCTACATTCAGATATTTTTTTGAGTGACAACTGAAAAGTTATGCAATTTAGGGTTAACTCTTCAGAGGCCTTTTTTTTTGCTTCAACTTCAGACACTGTTATTGCTTTCTTCAATAAATGGCCATGTATTCTCTCATTCCCAAGTAATCAAATATTCAAGCTTCAACCTTTTATTGATATTGGTAACTGTTAAGATTTTATTGATTATTAGAAAAGGATTATATGTACATCAATAGACCTTCCATCACTGGTTGGGCTAACATCTGTTACCTTAGCCATTACATTCATCGTGTGCCTGTGGTATTCATGCTTCAAGCTTCAATTAGAACTCTTATTGTCTTATTTTTCCCATCACAATGATAAGACACCATTTTCCTTTCCTTCTAGATTGGTGAAACTCCAATGCAAGGGCTAGGATTACATTATTGACATATCACACGTCTTTCCTTTTCTCCTTGCCATTTTTTATACAAGACCTCAATTCTGATGGGAAAGTGAAGTACTCTAATGCCACTTTGGGTGACCTTCATTACCTTTGACTTTTCAATACATTAATATCTATTTATAATGGATGACCCATGTAGTTGTTTGTGATCCCAAGGTCAGAATATTCTAGTTGTCCCATCCAAGTTTCTTCAGAACAAAACCAAGGAGTTCTTGAGCACTAGCTGGCCTAACCTGCCTAAACTTCAAAAGTTCCATAATAAACAAAATGCATACCATGATCCTTCTTCCTCTTCAATAGGGAACTCAATGATGGGAATAATGTTGATGCAGCCTCCCTGCTATCATCCTGTCAAAGCACAAGTTCAATGTACAACATTAATGTCCAATAATATCAACAAAAATTGCAACCAGGACAATTAAAAAGTTCAGTGCAAAAAACAATTCTTCTAAAATTGCAACCTCACACTCTGTCTACTCTCCTCAGACTGCACAATGGCATATACTTCCTAGACTGAAGGAAAGTCACTAATACCCAAAATCTGAACACAAAGAGGTTCATGCACAGGATTCAAGCCTAACAAGAACATAAAAACTAGGGCTGTCCACAGTTCGGTTAACCGAACCAAGGACAATTTTTTCACACCGAATTTGTCCTACCAGTTTTTTTATTTCTCCAAACCGAAACCGAACCAGTACCACCGGTTAACCGACCTGCCAGTTTCAGTTTTGACCGTTTCGGTTTTCTAGTTTTTGATATTTATAACATATATTATATAAATATATGTATAATATTATATTATAAATAATAAATGAAATATAATATATTATAAATATTATAAAAAGATAATATATAATATATAGAAAATATGTGACATGTATTTAAAATATATAAAATATACATATAAATATAGATATCGGTCGGTTCAGTTAACCGCCAGTTTTTTTCTAGATTAACCAAAAACCGAACTGATCGGTTTTGTTAACTGCATTTTCCGGATCGGTTCGGTTTTTCAATTTTTTATAGACACCCCTAATAAAAACTCGTTGTTGAGATACTAACTTCTTGTATGTTTTTGCATCATCATCTTTCTCCCATTCGATAGTTTGGTAGTGGTCCAAGTCTTTCCAAAATGAGGTAAAGGGTTGAATAGTAAGCAGACAAACTACAACCACCATGCTTACAAGTAGATGATTTAGCCTATAACTGGTAAATCTTAGCATAATGCCTCTGCTTTGAATAGATCAATTTTGCCTGCTCCCAAATCTCATTTGTTGTATCAGCCCACATAAAGTTCTTCCTCACCTCCAGTTCCATAGCAACAAGGAGCCAAGACATAACCATACTATTTTCCTAGTCCATCTATCATGTTCAACCCATTCAATGGACTGACCGGAATGGGAAAATTCATGCTATCAAACCCCTAAACTTGAAGTTACTTGAGAGAAACTAACTCCAGAAGAAGCTGAATCGTCTGTTGCCATCACGGTGATCACCCACACTCTCACAAGGTGCGAAACACAGGATTGATCATTTCACCAACACTCGATCAAGGATTGAAGCCTGAAACCCTAGCCGAAACCCAGAAAAAACTGCTGTAATTTGGAATATACTAGTCACACAGCCCCAACACAGCAAATTGTAATCACAACCAATCTGTAGTCACATGTGGTAGAGAGGTACAGCAAATATTTGCTGGAACAGACCCCTATGACCCACTATAGCACCATAACTGGGGCAAACACCTCAAGGAAAACCTTCCTCACAGCATTGATTGTTATAGAGAACTAGTACGACCAAGAAAGAAGGAAAAAAAAAAAAACAAGGGCACAGGTATACAAATCAGTCCAATGTGGGTTTTCGTATCTCCCAATCCAAAATAAAAGTTCAATTTAGAGAAAACTCAACCTACAGTCTTCTACCACCTAGATCACTGCTCTGAAGCCTCTGATACCATGTGTTCACTCTAAATCTGTAAAAGAGGAGGAGAGAGAGAGAGAGGAAAAGAGAAGAGGAAGTTTGGAAATTAGAAGGCTCGAAAATCTTGGGCTGGCAGTGCCCCTATTGTTATTTATAGGTATTGGACAGCATTACAATAAAAGAATTGACTGACGAACGAGGATTCATGTAGCAAACCCCATATAGTTGGGATAAAGCTTGGATGATGAGGTTGGTGATGATGATAATGATGATGTTTTCTTCTCCTCTCTAAACCCTCAACCCTTTTTTTTCTTGTCATGGCCATCTAGGAAAGGCTCCTCTCCTCCAAAGGTCAAAGCATTTTGCCCAGAATTGTTAACTGTCATTGACCCACCTGGTCAACCAGTGATCCAATACTGGTTCAGGTCAACCTACAACCTGCTATTTTATATAAAAAGAAAGAAAGAAAAACTGTTGAATTGGCCAACCACCCACTTACCTTGGCAGTTGAACCGTTGACCCATTCAACCTGTTCAGTGGGTTACCAGATTCTTGTATTATTTTGTTTTTGAAATTTTTTATATTGATGACATCACAGGTTGACCCATTGACCTAGACAGTTGAACAGCTGACCCTTGACCCAGAGGGGGAGAACAATTCAAGCTCCAGGTCAGGTTTTAAAACACTGATTATTCTGGGAAGCTTCCAGGAAGATTTTCAATGATGGGGAGAAGCTACAAAGAAGAAGATCAACCCGGTATGATGGTATCTATACCCTCATGTGTCTGTCCTCTGCTTGAGGAATGGAGAGGATGCAAACCATTTAATAATTTCTTCCATGCTCTAAACATCCATGGTATGCGAGCATTATTTTTTTCCCTTCATTTTGGTGTTATACAAAACCCACCATTGGATGTAATTGATTTATTTTTCTTAGCATATTCCTTCACCCACAAAGATATGGGAAATTGAGCGCTGTACCATGCAACAATAATGTGGAGTATCTAGATTGAAAAAAAAATGTGAGGATCTTCAATACGGAAAAAGATATCAGCACCCTCAAAGATTTGCAACAGTGAGATTAGCACATTTTGACTTTCATCAAAGAGTACAAGGAAATTACAGTGGACCATATGGTCCATAGTAGCAGGATTTTCCCCAAGAAGACAGCAGGAGATCACTCTTGGACGGCACAGGACACAGGTCAACTTAAGTTTTTTTCAGGTTAATAAATGGATGCAGCCTTGGAAATCTGGGCCCATCAGGGATTGGAGGGGTGGTAAAAAATCAGGCGGGAAATATCATAGCAAGTTGCAGTGGACCAGCATGTTAAGGCAATTCACTGAGAGCTCAATTTAACATTTCTATCAGAATGAACAGATATAATTATTGAAGGGGGCTATCTATCCTCAAGAGTATAGAGGGACCATGGCCCCTATAGAACATAATAAGGAAGACAACAAATTTTGCAACTCATTAATTGCTCATTCAGATGGATCCCCAGGATGGCTAACAGCATTGTGGACTCCTAAGCAAGCACAGAGGTCAATAGAGATATTCTAGAATGGGGAGTACCAGGGCCAAGCACAGAATTTCTGGGTGCTTGATGATCTGTTTTTTTATCTTGTTCTGTTTTCTTTGATTTGGTCAGCTATAAGCTGTTCTTGTATCATTCAGTCATTCTTCATTCCAATGTTTCTGAAATTGAAGATCTTTTGATCTTTTTCACCTTTATTAAATAGAAATCTCTTTAATATTGCTGATAAAAAATGTACATGTCATAAATATGGTAATGACTAATATCTACCAAACAGTGTTAATGTATGGCCTATGGTGCAACAGAACCATATTGTTGATGAAGCTTGTGGAAGATCAGAAAACTTTAAGGTAATCGGTTCAGAAACAAGCTCTTGTCATTCTTTTAACACCCACTACCTCCACACTCCCCCCTCCCCTCCCCAATTTAATAGGAATAACCCTCATCCAAAATAAGAGAAAAAGATAGCTAAGATTAAAGAAAAGAATATCAAGGCATTTCTTAGAAAATGAAAGTTCAGATAATTATCATTTTGTCCTTTAGACTTATTTTATTTCTTTTTTTTCTGTGTGGAATTTCTGCTAGATTGAAATTTTAATGAAAGCAAGGTTTCCATTCTGAACCATGCTAAAACCAATGTTCCGAGGACCACAAAGAACCAGAAAGAAGAGAGGTTCACATGTCAGAGGTTCAACCACAGTTAAACCAGAGGTCACAACTTCTCAGTCAACAGCAGTGTTTCAGCTCATTTCCAGCCTTCTCCATTCTATATAGAACACTAACAGGTCACGACTTCAAGAAAGAAACCCAAAACAGCCCTTTTTTATGCTGAAAACCCTAAAGAATTGAAAATAACAACCCAGAATTCATTCACAGCCAGGAACAGTCATCAAGAATTCATTCTCAGTCAACCGTCACCTTTCAAGAAAACATCCACAGTCAATAATCAACCACCCAATTCATCATCAGTCTGAAAAATCAGTCTTTGAGTCCAAAAACTGATAGTAGGGTTTGAAAATCCTAGAGAAACCAGCAGGGAAGACAAAGATCTATCAACCGCTGCTCATAGAGTGGTTAAAACTGCTTCTAATCAAGGTTGGCCTTATTAAAGAATGTACCTTTCTCAGAAGAACATTGATCGCCACCTCAACTGAAACCCTAATCTTGGGCACACCTTTATTCTCTGATCCTTCCTGGTCACCGGGCAATCTCCAAGGATCCTTCAATTCCTTGGGCAGTCTCCAATACTCTAGAAACTGCCAAGAATCAAGCACTACTGCAGAACATCCAGTCCTAAGGAGTTCTCATGCAGCCGACCAGATCAAGCTCACATGAGAACCCTAATCTGTCTTAACCTTGCTCTGATACCAACTTGAATAAAAGAAACAAAGAAAAAATCTGTTTTCTGATGTGATTCAGAGAGAAAAAGAAGAGAGATTAACCCAGAACCGAAGAGAAGAAGAGAGAAGAGAGAAGAGAGAAGAGAGAAGAGAGAAGAGAGAAGAGAGAAGAGAGAAGAGAGAAGAGAGAAGAGAGAAGAGAGAAGAAGAGAAGAAGAGAAAAGAGAGAGAAAGTGTGTGGTTAGTTATTTTTGGCCGCCCCACTAATTCTTATTTATACTTGTAACTTAACAAAAGGTAGAATTCCTCTAATAACCCTACTAGCTTCATAAGAAAACAAAAACAAATAAATATGGCCCTGAAGTAACATAAAGAAATAAACAGAAAAATAAAAGTGTGGGACCCACACACTAACAGCCTAACAACTATCTCTACAAGTATAAATATTTCATCCTATTTATTGATGATTTTTCACGATATACTTGGATTTACCTTATGCGCTCTCGAGCTGAAGTGCCTAAACTTGTGCAACAGTTCCATGAATACATACT